TAATGATTCTATGATTCTATGATTAAGTAAAAAGTGCTAAACACCACCATGGTAAAAAGGTAACTAACACGCCAGCACCTATGAGAACTGCATAAGAACTGCTCGTGGCAGCTTTTGCAGTATGCACCTGCATGATTAGTGTTTAAGGAAAACTTCGGTTTCTTTTTTGAAGTGTTAGTAGAAAGGTGAGAACAGAAATGAACTAGTCATACTAAAGCTCTGAGCGGGGCAGAATACATGAGGCCAATTCAAGTACAAGATAGACAGAATGAGCTGAACATCAGCCAGTTCAAATAATTCACAAAACCTGCTCATCTGTCTGCAAAACAAAATCTTTCCTCAGTTACTCTAGGGTATTTTCAGCTTGATTTTTCACTTTACCTGCTCTTGACAGATAAACACTACTAAATAGTAGATTGCTTCCCAGATGCTGAAGAAGATTTAATCAGCAACACAGATAGTTTGGATAGTTACCTTAATTTTCATCTTGTTCTCCCATACCTTTTCTACCTCTGCCATCCATACCCATTCAACTTCTCTCTTTTTCTCTCATAAAAGCCTTTTGTTCTTCACTGTCTATCCTGATAGAAGACCACAACGGGGAACAAATTTTACACCTACTCTGTACGCAACCCTTTCCCCTTTAAGATAAGTTTTTCTGAAAGCAGAATCCAGAGAGCAAGTGTCCCTCATTAGACTGACTTGGATTCCCTCTATTAGAAGTAAAAAAGTTTATTTTACTTACACCTTCAGCTACATTTCATATCCTTACAAAATTATAGGGAAATTACTACCGTTCAAATTTAAGCCAGAATTCCATTTCAACACAATTAGTAAAATAGCCATTTAAAATGCCTAACATTTCAGGTGAAAGTATCTTGTGGAGAAAGTCAGTCAGTGAAAATGAGATATCATGGTGGGGGGGAAGCACACGTGACAAATCAGAAAGCATACCATAAACACATTATCAAGGCCCTCTTCAAAAACTGGAGCTCAATTAGTTAACAACAGAGCTTGTTTAGGTTTTCAGAAAAGAAACCACCTTCTAAGTACACAGAACCTTGTAACCAGAGTCCAAGAAACAGGTACCTATATATCAAGCTTCTAAGCACTAACAATGCCTAGAAAGCACACTCTGCTTGCCAGGGTGAATACTTCCTGTCAGCTTCCCTATTGCCAATGCATATGAACCACACTTTTCATTTCAGATGATTTGGATATTGTGGTTGTTTCAAGTAATTTTAAATAAATAGTAAAGCAGCACTGTTGCCGAAAGAAGCAATACTATCCTTCCTTGTTTGCAGCTACTTAGGACATCCCCTTCCTTGTGCTGATATGAGCACCTGTTACATGTTCAGATAAAAAAACCAGGTTTTATCTGAAATTATTTTTTACTACTTTTTTTTTTCTTCCCAGCACAAGGGATGACAAGCAGATGAAATACGGGACAGGACTGCTACTTTATTTGGCACCGACAGTTTAAAGTGACAGTAAAACTATACTGTAAGGTAAACCTTGATGACATCATACAAAGTAATTACTTAACATATCACTCTTCAAAGGTATTTGTAAGTAAGTGTTCATGAGTTTCTTGTAAGTGCTTGGATAACAACAGTGAGTACACACATTACACAATATTTTTGTGGTAAGCATACCACTGAAATCTTGTGACCCTGATGAACACAGACTTTTGACAATGTTTTCTGCAGAAGCTGTTACTAAAGTCTTCTAGCATTACAGAGCCTCTTCTCCTCTTGCAGATCAAAGCCAGTAAAAGCTTTCTTACTGCAGTAAGAGCATGAAGACTTCCTAAATCTTCAAGGCCTCATTTATCTAGTAATTTTCCCTCATTTTTAAAAATTGTCATACATAAGGAAAAAACTAAGCTATTCCCAAGATATTGCACGTACATAACTGAAATCTAGGATTTCAGCACTTACAAAATAAATTCTTATAAGAATATAACAAATATATTTAATATTTTATATCATGCTTTCAGCTTCAATACTTAATACTTTTCCATTAGAACATTTATGCTTTGATTACATTCAAGCATTGGAAAAACTTGGATCCCGCCGAGCCAGATGAAATCTTAACATGGATGTTTGGCGGGGAGGTGGCAGCTGGAAAAAGGTAAGTACAAAGCAGAGCTGCTGTCATTACTTCTGAAACATGCATGAAACCATGAGGGATGGTAAGATGGTATTGACACTGCAACTTTTTTGTCCCTTCCTCAGCAAATCCACCCTTTCTATCACACACAGTACTTCCCACTCAAAGTTCCTCTGTACTGCAGCAGAAAACACCTTAACAACCTAGCCACTTCAAAACTTTTGTTGTTCTTATTGTTCCAGCAGAGCAGCAACCAATGTGATTCAGAGTCCAATTTCCATTATTATTGAGCCTCTTCCCTTCACATTTCAGTTATATACTTACAGCAAAATCATTATCCTAGAGCAAGCCCCAACTCCAAACTATGACATTGTTTAATTTGCATATGAGCTAAACTAAAAACATTTTTATAAAAGCCTAATGAGTTCAGAAAGTGGTAACTGATTATAAACTGGAAAAAAGTGTAGAGAGCAAATGGCTGTAGCCACTCTACAATTTGCAAATTTACTACAGACATCTGGTTTCTAAATAAGGCAGCACTTACAAGAAAACTTAACGAAGTAGGTCCACTATTTATCCCCAACATTACTCTAGTTGAGAGAAAATGAAAGAGAAATGTAAATCTGAATATATTCCCAATAGATTTTATTGCTACATACCTTTTAAAGACACAAAAAAGCTACTTTGTAAACTTTAAAGTTGGTCATCTGGCTCCCATTTGTACTGACTGCCAAAAATACGTAATAAGGAAAAGGATGGGGGAGGAAGAAATGCATTAGAAATCCAGAAAACTGCTGCTTGTAGTTCAGATGAAAATTCTACACCTGGACAGTGTTTACTAAGTTATCTATAGAACTGACACAGAACTTTACTCAAAACAAGTATTTATTGTGAAACCAATTTTTCAATAAATTGCCTAACAAGTCATTCAATGAAGCATTTAGACATGAATTACTTGTCTGAAAAACACGCACACACAATTCTAAAAAGTATTTTTGTTTTCAGAACTCTTCAGACTGAAAAGTTTCCATTTCTTACTTAGGTGAAACTTCTCTAAACATATACAACTCATAATGAAACATTTTATTACTCATAAAATGTGACTAATATGGTATACGTATGTTTTGGCTCTACCTCTGTCTCAGTCAGAAAGCAGCTGCTTTGTCTCTTAGCTAAACCATTAAACAAAATGGATAACACATGCCTTGTTATAGACCTCTAGTTTGCACAATTAATATTTGATTTACAGAAAAGGCCTTAGCAATTATAAAGAGTAAATCACCACAAAGCAGAAGGCTACCATTTTAACACGTAATATCAAAAGTAGGATGAGCTAGACAGCCTTAACATTTACAAACATTATCCAAAGTACAACCCCCCTGCTCCAGGATATTACCTGGGAAAGAATGCTGGCAAAGCATTTTTTACCCCATGGAAAGCACTTTTAAGACTGTCAAACTTTGAAAGAGTATTCATTTCAACAATTTGGATGTAATTCATAACTTTACTCTTCTATTAATCCACTTCAGGTTAACATATAGATAAGGATATCTGGTTTTATGACAATCACAGAAGAACTTTTTATCTGCTAAAACGGTAGGTGGACTTTTTTCCTAAAAGTATATTAACCTAAAGCTTAAATAAAACTCTTAATTACAGTAAACAGGAAAAAATACTGTGTAAAGTTTTATTTTAAAAATTATTGTGTATTTAAAATGTTTTAAAGATTACGTTTGTAGCCTCCTCCCCTTGCCTGAAAAGTGTACAACCTGTAAAAATTCAGGAGGTGTTATCTTCTCTTATTTACTTTCAAATGTATAGACAAAGGCAATGAGAGATTATTATTATAGAGCATTTAGGTTTGAAAATCATTATTTTGACAACCGAGAAAAATGCATTTGAACCATTCTCATTTTAATTAGTTCAGCTACATACATGCCAGATGTTTCATAAAATGCTTTACAAAATCCTCCTTCTATTAACAAAAATAACACAGTGGGAAACAAGCAAATGCAATTAAGATAATATTTTCCTTATTAGTTGGAAAATGTTGTTTATTATTCCCAGTTTCTTTTCATGTTAAGAACAGTTTTTATAACCCTAGAGCCTAATTAAAGGATATCAAGAGTTAAAAGTTGTTCCATGTTCCTTATGCGTTAGAAACCCCTGCCAACTAGTCCTCTAGGCTTTAAATATTGTTTTGACGGACTGCATTTTCATTTCCAGTCACAAAGAAAGTATTCTCCATAGTCAACACACGAGCAGATCTCCACCAGCTCAGTGAAAGCCAGATACAGTGTTCCGTGCAAGAATGAAGACTTTGCAGACTACTTTTATTTTGTTTGTGTTTGTACCTTTGGTAAATTCAGCACCACCTAAACAGCAAGAATCACTCCAGTTTTATGAGTATGATACAGATGTTACCATGGGAAGCCTGATCCAACAAGATTATGAAATGCAATCCAAGGATATAAGAAAGGTATTTCATTTATATTATCACTTTAATATTTTTAACTGCTAAGCATTATATGAATAAGGTGTTACATGCATGTATGCAAGTTTTATGGAAAAGTCTTATAATAATAGCAAAACATACAATGGTTTCAGACATAGGGAAAGCCTCAAATTAAAACCACAAAAATACTACCCTTGCTACAGTTTGAGAAACCCACAAAAAACAGGCTTTCACAAATAAGACTAATGCATCATTTTAACTCTGCTGTAGTTATGTGCCTACTGTTGTAAGAGTTTCAAGAATGGGATATACTAGCGTACTAGCTCAACAGTTTGAGTAACATTGTATTAACACAGTAAGTTTGTTTAAAAACAGAGAGGATGATTTTATTTAGGAATTTGGGTTTTTTATATCAAAGTAATACTTGAAACAGTACTTTTTATTGGACATAACCTGCCAGCATAAACCACAGTTTCTCTTTTGACTTACCAAACTATCAAGTTTTTTGCCTTGGTTTTTCAGGGGTGGCTTGCTTGGGTTTTTTGCAACTCAACAGTTTAGCAGTCCTGAACTACTATGGAAGGTCCAGTCCTGCAGTAGTCACCTACATTATTAACACTTTGAGATTCTTAAAGGTAGCAATAAAGACTATACCTCATGGCACTCACCAGCACCCCCAAACGGTCAGTTCTGAACTTTTTTGCTATGTGCTCCACATACAAGCCTTTTAAATTAAACACTTACGCAGAAGACAAAAACAGAGGAGAGTTAAATGAAGTGCAACAGCCTCAGCCGACAGGGACAGTTAAAAGCCTCATACCTCTGTTCAGACTGCCTCTGACAGGACCTAAACCATCCACATCAAGAGAGCAAGATACAACATTGATCAGACAGACGGAAAAAAATACTAACAATGATTGCCCCAAGACTAGTTGCCAAGGAAAATACCACATATCCAAACAAAGCGGTAACAACCAAGTATTAATAAATTCAAGGAAGTTTTCATTAATATTAACTGTACTTCTTACAATAACTTAGTCTGATAAACAAGAAAAAAGACGACAGCAAAAGATAATTAGTATAAGTAAAAAATTGCAGCACATACATTGAAAAATCACTTCTGTATACCTTTTCAATATTTTCCCAATTCTACTTAAATTATAGCTTTCCACTGTTAAGACTAAAAACAGCAGCTAAATATTTATATTAAAAATGTCTAAGATATTTTTAAATCTGACATCTGTCACAGTGATGAAGTAACATGTTTCATAAACCTATGAAAAGGAGACCATTTAAATTACTCTTAACTAATAGGTAGCTATCTACTCGCAACTGAGTAAGTTTTTTAAAAAAATATTAAAAATGTTAACTTTAACTAGTCAGGCACAGCATCAGATGACATTCATTACTAAAATCGTTCTAATAAGAATACGCTACTGTTTCAGTAAAAAGAACAATAAGGAGTATACCTACAAGGAAATGCTGCCAACAGACGTGCCACAGACTAATCAAAGCCTGTACTGGCAGTGCTATAAACTAGAGGTCTTCTGAAGGCCAACAGTTCTGCTTAGGATAATTCTAGGAATGCAGTCACTCTTTATTAGTATCAGGTCAGTTCTCCAATTACATGTTTTCATTGCAAAATAATAAATTAGTTCCTTATGTGCAACAAATACATCTATACAAGTCCCAGTATTCCCAATTTAAATCATGGGATGTGCAAACAAATCTTCTATTCATTTATTGCACAAATTCTAGCTCCCAGAATATTTCAAGTGTTAACTGTAACCGAAATACATGCCAACAATTTCCTCAAACATGCCCAGTCAGAAATCTATCTTGCATGACAAATTTAACTCCTTGCTGTGTGCTTGAACACACAGTTAGAAAAAAGATTTTTAGTGAAAACATCAGAAGAAATTTATTTGTGTTAGCGATCAACAAAATGAAGTGAACCTTAGTCTACTACTAAGGAAAATGTCAGCCAAACAAAATTTATTACAATGATTATTATTTGAAACCACAGCCACTCCAGTCTTGAATAAAAATATTGGAAGTTTAAAAACATGAAATCTTAATTTCCATAACAGAACAGAACCATCCAATTATCTGGACTAATTCATTCCATTGAATATAAGCTATCAGCTTTATAGACCTTTGTGTGTTATGAAGATGAATGTTAATGTGTTTTTTTTATGGGTAATTCATGTCTGTGGCATAAAGTGCAAGAGGCAGGTGGAATTTAAGTATGTAAGTAGGCCAATATTCCTTCAGTGCATTCCCCACATATGCAAGTAATGAACTTTCTGTGGTTATAATCCAAACAATCTTCTCCACTGATATTCCACAGCTAGGAATTTTTATAGCTGGCCAGGAAATACTTCCAATATATTGGTTATTTATGCTACTTTTTTGTTGTGGGTGGTTTTTTTTTT